TATCTTATATGAATAAAATGTTTTGCAATAAACGCTGTTTGTTTACTCTAGACAGGAAAAACGCATGTGAATACGTATAAAAGTGAACTACAATAAAAAAATACGGGATAGTAAATGCTTATAAATGGTTAAATTTTGAAGTTGGTTGTGGAATAGGGTTTCTCATTTCCCGTAAATTTAGCATCCCGGGATTCCCGGTGTGTAACTTATTTATCCCGGGATTTCCCGGGATTTCCCGGCATAATTTTTAATATAATAACAAGCGGTTTCTGACACAAATTTATCTTAGCACGCTAATCTATATTACTATTTAAAATGAAATATTGTTTTAAAAAACATAAACAATCAATTGATTTGTCACTTAATCGTGAACGAATTTTTCCCATAAATAGACCCGCGGCAGAAAAAGCCCTTTCTGATTCAATTGATGTCGGCTTGATGGTCATTAATGTTGAGTATATTCTTTCTAAACTTTCGCTACGCTTTCCAGTTGCCTCAAAAAGTTTGATTTCTTTTGTGAGGTTTTTTAAATTGCTAATGTTTTCTAGAGCTGCTTTTTCTACTTGTTTGACATTACAAATAGTCGCATCCAATTTTTGTTCAAGCGTCAAAATACTTTTGCCTAATAAATATGGAGCAACAGGTTGAGGTATTGACGGGTCAGAAACCATGCTTTCATTATCACGACTCACTTCAACTATTTCATTATTTGATGAACTAAGGCTAGCATCCTCTATGTACAACCTGGTATAAATTTTTTTTGCTGTTGCTTTTAATGCATGTTTGGGCGGTAAGAGTAGTTTGGAGTTGATATTTGATTCCTGATTATAACTAATTGGGTTGTTTAAAAATTTTAGTAATCCAATTAAATTGGCATTTCTGCGTTCTTCAATTCTCTGCTGCACAGATTGAAGCAGTTTATTAGCTATAAAATTTTTTTTCTCCGTCAAATCGTCTAAGATGAATATCATTACACCTTCTGCGTCAAGTAGAGTAGCATTACTTCTACCAAGTCTTTCTATTCCAACTTTTATTGGTTGCAGAGAAAATGTTATGTCGTTCATAATCGCATATTCATCTTCGGAGATATTCAGAACTTCTTTTAAATCGATCATTGCTTTTAGTATACATGTTTTTACTTTAAGGAATCTTTCTAGCATTGCAACAAGACTATTCCACCTCGTTTTGACATCTAATATCAGCTTAAGCTCTTTATTAAACATAGATTTTACGTACATTTGTAAAACTTCATTTTTAAGAGGTGATTTACGGAACATTCGAACCACTTTTCGAACCTTCTGAATTGTTAAGGCTATATTTACGCTATTTTGTAAATCATCAATAAACGTAACGCCTGTTGAGCTGTGTGACTCATCATTACAGTCAAATACATCATCAAACTCGTCGTAATCACTCAAATTTTCATCGGAATCTTGAAACTGCGATTCAAATTCAATATATTTTGCTGAAGAGTCTGACTTTTTGTAAAGAACATCACATACTGCCAAATGAAGTCCGTGGGCATAACACAGCTGATGTTCAATACCACTTAGCCGTCCAAATTTTTTCATTACGGATGCTCCGTCAGTGACACTAGCTATGATGTGCTTTTTAATTGATAAACTGAAATCTGACAGTTTATTTTCAACTAGATCAACAATTTTTTCTGCAGGAAGTGATCCAGCTATCGGAGTCATTCCCAGGTTCCAAAACTTTGTTGATAAGTGAAAATTTACATTAAAATAACGTCGATTTTTTAAAGACGTATATTCGTCTAACGATAAAGAAAATCGCGACCCGCTAGAAATTTCTTTTGTTATCTCTAAAACCACAGTTTGTCTAGCTAATTCATATTGTTTTTTTATCATACCCATAACATGGGATGGATTTTTTGGTAATAACATGCCTTTTTCAGACAATGATTTTCTAATGAATTCACTTTTTGTTATGGCATTTATTGAGAAGCCATCCACCGTTGCTAGCTTTGACACAATTTCCTCGATAGTCTGCTGTTTAACAAACAATGTTATTTTCTTTTGAACAATTTTATTTTCCGAACCAGTATCTTCAAGTAGACGCTTCATATATAGATCCAAATCTTTATGTGTGTTTTTTAAATGACGTAGGAGCCCACTGGTCGAAAATCCTTTGCACATTATCTTTACATTGCACTTTTTGCAAATTGCAGATTCGCCAGATTTTTCTTTACAAAATTACTGCCATGCTTTGGATCCATTTACAATTGACATAGTATAACTAAATTGAATCGCAGAACAACTAAAAGTAAAGTTACAAATATTTCTTACATATGTATGTTATCTTACGTATGACTTTTATGTGTTTGTTTGCCGTTTTTTAAATACAAAAATTATTAAATATTTCAATAATTTGATACAGAAAAAGTTTAACTTTTCAATAATTTAGAAGTTTAAAAATTAAACTTACTGTTTTCGTCGCAAGAAATCTTTTTTATTTTTTACTCATATTTTATAATAATGAGAAAAAAGAAAACATTGCATTGCAATGCATTTCTTTTTAGTTTAAGATAGTTTCAATAGCATTTCTTGTTGTGCTAGGTTTTAATATAAGGTATGAACACATAAAACACAACTAAATGCAATAATATTTTTCTTATTTTTGGTCGAATTAGTTCAAAGTTATCATATGTAAAATTATTTTTAAAAAAATTATATTCCGGGATATAAGAGTGATATCCCGGGAAATCCCGCTGCCACTTTTATCCCCGGGATCCCGGGATCCCGTTTGAGAAACCCTATTGTGGAACCTCAAGACGTTACCTAAATTAATTTTTTTTTTACGGAGTAATTGATTGTATCACAGAGCAAGTTTTAATAACTATCCAAAGTCAAGCAAATCAAAAAAAAAAATTTTTCACGTTTTCACTCCACCCTTATATATATATATATATATATATATATATATATATATATATATATATATATATATATATATATATATATATATATATATATATATATATATATATATATATATATATATATATATATTCATACACAATACTCAAGAAAAATGCCCCTGTACCAAGTTGACCACCACAAAATAAAAGAACCATAAATGAAATAGTTACCACCAAAAACAATATTTCCCCACCCGTTCCTTTCAGCAACATGCAAAAAGCAAACCGACCCCCAGAACTGCAACCCTGCAAATGATGTGTTCACCTCAGCAACCCGGTAAAAACTGAGCTATATGCGATCTCCGGTGATCAACCTACATCCCCGTGGAACGCTCCAGACGGAGCCAAAGAGCACCACGGAACACTCCTAAAAGTCCCCGAATGCTCTAGAAGGTGATAGAACAGCCTCAGGGGTGTGACCCCTGAGGTTACACTCATCCGCACCCCACCTCTGGGGGCAAGGAACAACTCTGCACTTCATAAGGAACACTCTCTTTGGCCCCCCTGACCCAGAAATGACCATTTAAAAACCCCCGCGACCCCGGCGGCCTCCAGTGACCTCCGAGGTCAACTTGACATAACATATGTCACTTCCTGGGTCATAGGGATCATCCATGTCAAATTTCAAGTTTCTAGGACAAACAATCTGGCTGTTAACTGGGAACAAACAATCGAGCAATCAATCAGAATTAACAAATATATATATATTATAAAGTTATATATTACCTTACATTGTAACTAATCAGAAACTAGATATATATTTTATCAACATTACTCTTATGAATATGTAATAATTGAGTTAAATTTCTAGTCTTTAAAATATACCAAATATTTTACAAACGCTAGTTTTTTATTGCGCATATACTTCTTATTTCTATAAATTCTAAAAAAAAAAAAAATTTGAAGTTAAGTAAAAGAGCTATTCGAAACTTATTTAAGGGTTATCGAGTTTCACACAACTTTTTGACCATCAAAATTACTAACTCGTTATTATTTAGTTTGCAATTAGAAAAATTTCATACAAGGTAAACCAAGTCTAGAATGACCAATCAACTATGTTTTTGATCGTGTTAACTAAAAAGTTAAGTCCACCTTTTATAAAAAGTATTGATAATCCTTATATAGATTTTAACTCAAATTTTACTAAATTCAAAAATATCAAAATTATTAAAAAATATTGTTTAGATGTTTTAATTAATTTAATTTTCACTACTAACAAGTTACAAATTAATATAAAAGATCCACTTCCTAAGATGCTCAAACCCAATGTTGATTACAAATTGTCTTGTGCTGAATGTAATTCCAGTTTTATTGGAGAAACCTCCAGACATTTAAAAACAAAGAATTTGTAGTCACCTTATAAGTGAGAAGTAATACACTTAAAAGTAAACTTAAAACACTTAAAATACCTAAAAACACTTAATTCAGTTAATTACACTTAACTCAGTTAAAACACTTAACTCAGTTAAAACACTTAACTCAGTTAATTGTAGAAGATTTATTTATCTGATAAAAAATGTTTAATAAACTGTTACGAAAATTATTTTAAGAGCTTATTTCCAATTTTTAAAAGTTTCAGTAAAATTTAATTGTATAATCTATTAAATTTGTCTATTATTTAGCATATGTTATAATTATTAATCTCTGCGCAGCTTAGATTTTTTTAATGAGGTCCCTCTTAAGGCTACCCCAGCCAGCAAAAAATAATTGGCCCAATGTTGGCCCAATGCATTGACTTGCATTGGCACAATGTTGGAATAATGCGTTGGACCAATACCGGAGTGATCATTGGCGCAAGGTACGACCAATGCTCATTGGCCAATGCTAAAAACAACGTTTAGCCAATGTTATAATTATACGTTAAGTATGTTTAAAATATGTTAACCCAATATTCAAAAAACGTAATTTTAGCAATGCTAAAATTATGATTTTATTTTACTTGAATTACATTACAGCCAAAACAAAACTTGATTCAATAAAGAGAAACAAGTCAATAAAGTATTCAATGATGTGATGTGATTACCCCGATTTAAATTAAACAAATTGAGAAAATAGTCTGTAGTTAACGTATGCTTAAATATTTCATCAGAATAAACCGTTAAACTATATAATTTTTACTATAAGTTATAACAATTGATTGTCTCGAATTAAATTTTTTTGGAGTGATCGTTTACTCCCTCGTTCTGGATCATTTCTGCCTCCTTCGCGGTCGCAGGACTGCCTAAGCCAAATCTTTACAAGTTGTTCAACTCTTGAAGTAGTGACGTCACTCAATAACTTGTTCTTCTTAACAACACCTGAAAAGAAAAGGAAAATTAAATCCTCATTTAACTACTTAGGTAGTAATTACTATTAAGAAAATATTTATCTCTAAATTTATTTTTTTGGTTGGTATCGGGACAGCAAAAAAAATTTATTAGTTATATTTAACAAAAATAATACTTCCGCCATAACAACTTAAAAAACTAAGTTTCATTATTTTAGTTTCCACACGTATAGCCGTAGAAACTAAAATTTTAGTTTACATATGTACAGATTTTTTATGACCAAAGTATTTAAAATTCAATTATAAAAGTCAATTATAGACTTACTGACAATAAGAGAAGTTATTTTCATGTTGCCGATTCCAACTTTTCCACTCCTACCGGCAAAGTTTAATTGCAACGATAACCCTTTTGAGAAAAGTGTTCTTAACAATCTACGCGTTGTATCACCAATATTTCTTCCACCAATTTGAGCAAGATGATTAACCTTGATTAACATATTTAATATAATTAACCCTAATTAACCTTATGTCAACTGAATAATAATTAACTAATCATTTAATAAGTTAATTAGCCTACATTTAAGATAATTGCATGCCGTTGCATGCTACATTTTACTAAATTTGCATGCTATTTCTTTATAACGTTGCATGCTTTTGCATACTCCTATATAACAATTTGCATGTCTTTGTATGCTTTCAATTTAATATATGGCATATGAAGTTATTATTTCATAATAGCTTATTGAATTTTTTTACATCTTATTAAACAATAAGAGAACTGATGCCTATAGAATTTATTTTATAACTTGTGTGAAAACGTTCGAAGTATTATTAACAAAACAGTTAATTGTATATATATATATATATATATATATATATATATATATATATATATATATATATATATATATATATATATATATATATATATATATATATATATATATATATATATATATATATATATATATATATATATATAACTTTTTATTAATCATAGAAACATGATAATGATTTTTGAATTACAAAAAACTAAAAAATACTTCAAAAACTTCAAAAATTAAAAAATACATCAAAACAAATAAAAATGTTTTGCATACCGAGTGGGAACCCTGAAATATGTAAAACCAGCCCTCAGAATAAGGGTCGGCATTCGGCGATGCCGACCTAACTGTGTTTGAGGTCGGTATAACTAAAAGTGTTTGAGGTCGGCATAAAATCCCCGACCTCCTTTCTATGTTTTATAGTTTGACCTTTGCGTCAAAAAATTTTTGCCGACCTGATGCTGACCTCTAACAGTTTAAGGTCGGCAGTTTATTGGCGAGTTCATTTTCTTTTATTCTAAGGGCTGATAAAATATATAAATATGTATAAAATATAGTAGAACATATATACATTCAAAAAAACCAACATCAAAATTATGGAAATAACATACTAATAACTTGAAAGTGCTATTTTCTTTTAGTTTCTCATCAAAATCTTTTAATTCTTGTATACAATCAAGAGGAAGATTTATGCCTTCAGGCAAAGTATCATAACTTTTATGCTGAGTTACAGCATTAAGGATTGAATTCAAAATTTGTGAATGCATGGCCTGCTTTGTCTCTATTGATGCAAGTCTGCTTAGAATCACATGCAGATCTTTTGGAAGTATTCCTAAAGTTTTGAAAAATATTAAAATTTTAAATATTTAAATCTTATGGTTATTATATAAAGCAATTATATAAAACTACTTTTTTGTATAGTTTTTTGCACAAAAAAAAGGCAAAATTTAAATAAAATTAAAATTTCAGCATTTTCATTCAAAAAAAGGATTAATAATATTTATAACAATTTCAAAGATAAGGTGGAATATAATCGATTAAACAACTCATCAAAATGAAACCTTTTTTCATTTTCTTTGTAAAAAATATAATAAAATTTTTATTTCTTAACATGCATTGAAATTTCTATTATTGTTTAGAATTTTGCAAATTCCATTTTAAAAAAACAAACTAGTAAAAGTAGTATTAACTACAGAACTTTAGCATATTATATTCTAAAACTTTAGCATATTAGGCAGCAAAAAATAATACCTGAGATTGCATTTGGGGTTGACGGAGATGAATTAGTGATGCTTTTAAATTGGGAATACAAACTAAAATTTGGCTGAGCTTGATCAATCAAATTGTCAGTTTCTGGTGATTTAGCTGTGCAAGAATGTATCGTGAAATCTTCATTTTCTTCATCAGACATATTTAACTCCTGATTTCTTTTTTCTGGGAAAGCGATCTCACAACTTGCTAAAAAAAAGACCAATTAAAAGGTTTATTATGTTAGTTTAAAGGAATGATTATGCAAAACAACTCATTGAAAACTTGTCAAAGATATTGCATAAAAACTTTGTATATTATACTAGTATAAATACAACCAATTATAATAATGTTATAAATTGCTACTTTATTATAAATTTATTCCCCATTAAATATTCATAAACAACCGTTAAAACAAATTCACAGGATGACAATGTCACATGTGATGCCAAAGAAAAGTTGTGCTTTGTACATATATAACATGTTTATAATATGTGTTTTTTACAAATATAACAATTTCAAAACTATAAAAAATAAATATTACAATCTTACAAATCATAAGTGTTATATTAAAATCATAAACAACCAATAAGCATTTAAACATTGTAATAATAATAAAATAAACATTACATATTATTCACTGAAAAACAAACCATGCATCTTGAAAGCAAATATGATTCATTGCAAAAAAAATTTATTTTTAAATTTAATTACCTGATGAATCCATTATTATATTCTCCCCTAAAGAAAAAATTACTATAAATACATTACTGAACATTTCTTAATACAGCAGATATTAAAATTAATAAAACATCTACAATTTTAAAAATTATAAAAAACTAATAAAAAATTGAAAAATTAATGTTAAAGCAACTTTAACCTTGTTAAAGATAAATTGAAATTATATTTACCTGAAATTGTATTTGATACTACTGCCTGAAACGGTTTAGTTGTATTATTGGTATTTCTTAGCCTAGGATGAAATGTGAGCTTATTAGGCTGAACAAGTGATTTTACTAAAGGGTTTGCCAGTCCTGGTGGAACATTCGGACATTTAAGCTTTGTATGATTGTCCTCAATATGTTCTTCATTAGACAATGAAAAATTTTTTCGCCGCTTTTTTGACATAGAAATTTGTTCATCATGATCTGTGTCAAGAGCTGAGGTATCTAACTCCGCTTGTTTTAAATTTTGATGTGCTTTTTCATGGCTTGCTAAAAAAGTTTAAAAAAATAAATAAAAAAACAAATAATTTACAAAATACTTATTATAAAATAGTTATTTTTTAATAAAATAAAAAAATGTTACTTTTATTATTTTTTTTAGACTTTTATCATTTATTTTAACTTTAATGTAATTTTAAAAGTTTATCAAAGAACTTTATTAACAATTACCATGTAAATGTAATGATCTAGCTGGCAGCTGTTCCCAAGATAATTTGGGCTCTTCGTTTTTTTGTATAGAGTTTTCTAATCGACTACCACAAAGACAACAGAAATTCACATTGACAATCCACTTCACTGGTACAATTGCTACAGAGTTATCATTTATAAAATGCATGATAGCAAACTCCATTTTCTAAAATAACTTAAGCATAATATTTAAAAAATTAAAACATAGAAATCTTTATGACATTTTATTATATAGAATAGAATAAAAATTACAAAATTATTTACAACAATAAATTTAAACAAACCACTCCTGTACTTTTGTTTCATCTCAAACAAAAATTTAAAATTACTCTTTTTAAATCAGTCAACATCCATAAGGAAGGTTATTATGATTAACTGCTTTAATAAGGAAGTCAAAAATTCATTAATTACTAAACTGTATTTAAAAAAAGGGCTCAATAAAAATTGATGTTAAAATCTAGGGCTCAATAAAAAATGATGTTTTTCAAATGAAATTTTAAATGATGCCAGAATATTTAACTATATAAATAAATAATCTAATGTTATTCAATCAATTAAAAGATAATTTGAAATAATTGACTTTACAGTTAAAATATATAACTTAACAACTTTATAAGTAAACAAATTTGTAATTGAAAAGTTCTTTATAAATCATAGAACTTTACATATATATATATATATATATATATATATATATATATATATATATATATATATATATATATATATATATATATATATATATATATATATATATATATATATATATATATATATATATATAATATATATATATATATATATATATATATATATATATATATATATATATATATATATATATATATATATATATATATATATATTATATATATATATATATATATATATATATATATATATATATATATATATATATATATATATATATATATATATATATATATATTATATATATATATATATATATATATATATATACATATATATATATATATATATATATATATATATATATATATATTATATATATATATATTATATATATATAAATATATATATAAATATATATTTAAAAATAAAGTTAACATTTTTATTTTCAGTAATCATTTCACATTTCATTTTATTAAGACATTAATTATAAAACAACTATAACTAAGTATTAAAAATAAAAAGTATAAAATTAAAGTATAAATGCGACTATAACATTTTTTAAAAATCTAATTAAAAAAAAAATCTAAAAAATATTTTTTTGTATTATATTATCAATTAGCAAATAAAAGTTTAATGCAACAGGGGTACAATAAAATAATCTGATGACTCAACTTTAGTAGGGAGACAAAGACATTTTTTGAAAACCATTGAAACAGGTAAAAGTTGCAATTTAGATAAACTGTTTCTAGACACTTTACAGATTCCTAATTTTGTTGATGAAATTGGAAACATAAAACTTTCATAAACAGTTAGGAATTTTTCACAAACAAATGTAATATCATTATTTATAAGTAGTATATTACGAATGATACACGGTACACCATCATTTGTAATAAAACAGTTATCTTTATTTGATGTTGAAAAAAACCATTTCTCTAACTGAACTTTTTTAAATTGTTTTGCATGTTCAAACCCATTAGGTAAAGGGCCATTAAAATGTTCACCTTTGAGTAAATTAAGCTCATCCAAGTTATTATCATTTTTTAAATTACTGCTTAGTTTCCTCTCTCCTAATCTTCGAACTAATTGCTGAATTGGAAATTGTGGTTTCCTAATCATTTTTTTTAACTGTCCTAACAGATTCTCAAAAGGAAAACTGCTAAAATTATCTAATGGACCAAGTGTCTGCACATCTTTTGATAAATGAATAAGGCAGTGAACATTGTAAACAAGAAATCCTTTACCATAGAGACTTTTACCTTCATTTACAAATAAAACAAGTAATTCGTGAGCATATTCAGAGTAATCCTTAGAAAACACTGGATCTACCAATATTGTTATAGCTACATTTAGTAACATAAAATGATTGTATAAAAGCAATGATAAAACATTTGAGAGCACTAATGGGCCCAGATACAGTAAAAAAAGACGAAATTCAGTAGCTTTCCAGCGTAAAACTTCATGAGCAGAACGACACTTTTTTGAAAATTCAGAAGGAATATTTTGTGATAAGGAATTTAGACTATTAGACAACTGATCCATTGCACGTGTACCAATTTGAACGTGCAAAGGGCCTTTTGGGCCTTTCCAATAAAGAATCAATCGCTTCATGACTCCTAAACAAACCAGATGCATATAGTCTAGACCAAACTGACTAACAAAACCAACATTCAACAGTTTTAGAGGACACTCCCAGAGATGATGTTTTTTGTCAATCATATGAAAAAAAGATAAATCTGTTCGTAGTGGTGCATTGGTTTCAGGATAAATTAATTTGCCATCATATTCACCATTTGTTGTGCATTTTTCACATGAATTATAACCAGAGTGACCTTTTATACCTTTGACAAATGCTCTAGCAGGTGCATCACAGATAAATGAATGAATTTTAACAGAATACCTTTTGTTATTAAACAGAAAACCATTATCTACTAAATGTTTAGTTTCTTCAACAAACTCTTCAAGAAACTCTGCTGCACTTGGTGGTTTTTCTTTTCCGCTATATATTCCTACAACAAATGGTTCTTTCATACTGAAGTTCTTTACAATACAAAGTATTGGCCATACTGAGACACCAGAGCTTTTGAAAAGAGGCAACCCATCTATGTTAATTTGCAAGTGGATGTTTGTATTCTCAGGTATAAACAAATCATTAATGCAGTTTTTTAAACCATTCTCAAGTCCAATGTGACAATAATCTCCTCCACTTTTTAGTTTTTTAACTTCAAATATTGTAGGTGTCTTTAATAATGTCCTTGGATGTTGTGGTAAAGTTGGGAAATATGGTTTAAGAATGCATAGAAGTGATGCAAGCGCCACATGGGTTATTTTATATTGCAGAGACCAATCGCGAAGTATGTTGTTTATTTCACCATCAAAATTTTCATCTTGATTATCAGAGCTAGATGAAACATAGTTATTTTCCTCCGAATCAATATCATTGACATTATCATTAGCAAAATTTAAATCTCTGATTGTTTCAGAACTAAAATTACTCTGTAAATTAAAATCTGTTGTCTGGGTATTAGTTGATGTAATTTTTTTAAAAAAAACTTGTTCATCTTTTAATAAAGTTATATCTTCCTGCTGAACTAGCTGCTTGACATCACAAAAATTGGTACGGGCAGGAAGATTATTATATACTGTATTTAAATCAAGTTCAGCTTGTTTTTTAGCTTTTCGACGAATGGAAGAGTATGAATAATCTTTTGTATAGCTATCCATTTTCTATATAATAATTATTTACAATAAAAAATTAGCATATATTTTTTCATTTACTTCACTTTTATTTATTTATTTTCTTTTTATAACAACAATTTTTTTTAATTTTTCAGTGCATGAAAAATAATTTTTTTCAAACTGCACTTTGTATAAAAATATTTACATACTATTGTAATAAATGTTACTTAACTGAAATACAATAAGTCAAATGAATATTTATATTTAAAGATTAGAATCTAGTTAAGATCTTTGATACTACGTTAACGATGGAAACCTTGTATTTGTCAAATACGCGTATCACAAAAAGTGTTTGTGTTATTCGTACAGTTGCGTCGGCTAAATTATATTAGAAATAAAACTTAACGTACATGCATTGGAGAAGCATTGGCCCAATCCAAATATTTCGCCAATGTTGTTTTATACATTGGGCCAATAACTTCTTGCTAGCTGGGACTATAATCGAGAAGGCTACTTATATTTCAAACTGTTATTATAAGCCTTATTTAACTATATAACTCTAAAACATAATATATTTTTGAAATATTTCTTCTTTTCGAAATTTCCAAATTTTATAACAAGTTTGAGGTTGGTTTATAGCATGACGATGGCTTAGCAGTTTTTAGTAACAAAAGCGGCCCACAAATGGAAAAAATAAAAAAGTATATTGTTGAAATATTTAAATACAATGGCTCACGGATTTTCTATACAATGCAACATGAAAATTGTCAACTACTTCGACGTTATTCTAATTCTTAGTGAGTGCAATTTTTAGTCTTATCTCAAACCTGATAATACATTAAATTATATCCATGTTGATTCAAATCATCCGCCAAGTATACTAAAACAAATACCACACTCAATTAAACTTAGATTATCTCCAAATTCTTCTACCATAGAAATATTTCATGCTGTTCCTCTATAAAATGAGGCTTTATTAAAGTCTGGTTTTAAATGTAGTCTAACATATAATCCTAAAGAAATATCAACTCGAAAACGGAACAGAGCACGCAGCATTATTTGATTTAATCCTCCATTTAGCAAAAATGTTAGCACCAACGTGGGAAAATGTTTTTTGAAATTAATTGACAAACATTTTCCTAATAATAACAAACTGCTTCAAATCTTTAACAGGAACACAGTCAAAGTTAACTACAGTTGTATGCCATGTGTAAAATCGATCATAAATTCGCACAACAAATACATTTTATGCAACGATACAAACTCTAATCAAGATTAGAGTTTAGAATCAATTGTAACTGTTTGAATAAAAATCTCTTCTCGTTGTTCAATAAAGGTTAACAAGCAACATTGTATACCACCACTAGTGGTTCATCAGGTTTAACAAGCAACATTGTAACCACCACTAGTGATTCATCTCTTAACGAAAAATCCTACATAGGTGTAAGTGAGACTTCATTTAAATTCAGATACGCGAATCAAGTTAAA